TACAGTCGTAAGGAATCCTAGGAGTTGGTAACACAGCAAGTGAACATCTTTGGGTAGACATGCGCAGCTACAGCTGTGGAATAAGATTCCTCCTGAGAGTGAAACTCTACAGTGAACACCAGCTACAGTGCATTGAAGCAGACATTATGCAAACATTTCAAGAGAAAGGGCACTTGGTCTCAGACCAGCGAAGCCGGTGGGTCCTCACTGTGATAGCCTCCATGTATCTGTAGGAAGAGTAGGTCAGTGGCTGGTCAGCATTAGAAAAAACAGTCAACAAAGCCAGCTCTGGCTGTGCCCATAGCTCATGGCAAGTCACTTCCTCCAGCTGGTCGGGCCAACATCCGTGGGTCACCCCTGACTCCTCCCACCCTCACAACACCCAGCAGCAAATCCTGTTGGCTCCACTTCAAAACGGATTCTGGGCCCAGCGCTGTGGTTCACCCCTGTAATCCCAGGACTTTGAGTACTTTGAGGGTGGATCAGTTGAGGTCAGGAGTTTGAAACCAGGCTGGCCAACATGATGAAACCCCGTCTCTACTAAAAATACAAAAAAATTAGCCAGGCTTGGTGGCATGCACCTGTAATCCCAGCTGCTCGAGAGGCTGAGGCTCGAATCCGGGAGGCGGAGGTTGCAGCGAGCCAAGGTCATGCCACTGCACTCCAGCCTTGGCAACAGAGGAAGACCCTTTCTCAAAAAAAAAAAAAAAAAAAAGATCCTGAACCTGGCCACCCTTGGCACCTCCACTCCTACTACACCGGTCGAAGTGACACCCCTAGCCGGGCCTCCCTGCTCTGATTCCCCTCACCCACTTTCCTCCTGACAGCCAGGGGGATCCAGTTAGAACAATGTTACACCATTTTTCTGCTCAAACCCACCCAATGGCTTCCACCTCACACAGGGTGAAGTTCATGTCCTGATGGCCTCCAAGTCTCTTTGTGGCCTGTGCCTGATTTGGCATAGCGGCCCTGACCATCTCCCGGACCTCCCATGGCTGGCTCTGCCCCAGAACCCTGGCGGCTACGTGTGTTTTGGGCACACCAGGCACCTTCCCCTGGGGCTTTAGCACTTGCTACTCCCTTGGCCTGGAACATCCTGCCCGCAGATTTCTTTCCTTTTTTTTTTTCCTTTTTGAGATGCAGACTTGCTCTGTCACCCAGGCTGGAGTGCAGTGGTGCAAACTCAGCTCACTGCAACCTCAGCTACCCGGGTTCAAGCGATTCTCCTGCATCAGCCTCCTGAGTAGCTGGGATTATAGGCACACACCACCACACCCAGCTAAATTTTATATTTTTAGTAGAGAAGGGGTTTCACTATGTTGTCCAGCCTGGTCTCAAATGCCTGACCTCAGATGATCCACCTGCCTCGGCCTCCCAAAGTGCTGGGATTACAGGCGTGAGCCACCACGCCCAGCCCTTTTTGTTCGTGTGTTGGGGGGGTGCGGTAGGGGGGATGGCGCCTTGCTCTGTCAAACAGCTGGTGCAGTGGTGTGATCATAGTTCACCACAGTCTCAAACCCCTGAGTACATGTAATCCTCCTGACTCAGCCCCCTGAATACAGTATGCTAGGACTACAAGCACACATCAGCATGCCCGCTCATTTTTAAATTTTTTGTAGAGATGTGGTCTCACTCTGTTGCCTAGACTGGTCTCAAACTCCTGGCCTCAAGCAACCGTCCTGTTTAGGCCTCCCAAAGCGCTGAGATTATAGGCATGAACCAGCATGCCCAGCCACTCTTGTCTTTTATCACATGTGAATGTCATCCAGTCGGTGAGACCTTCCCTGACCCCCACTATCTAACAACTGCAGTTCCTCACCCAGCATCCTGTTAGCCACTTTGTCTCCCATTTTTCTCTGTAACATCACCAAGGAACACACTCAGGAGTTCCCTTGTCTTTTCTACTGGTCTATGTCCCATCACTGCAGTGTAGGCCCCGTGATGGCAGGGGCTTGTCTGTTTTGTTCACTGGGAGCCTGTTAAGATGTGTTAGGTGAATGAGGCCGGGCGCGGTGGCTCGCGCCTGTAATCCCAGCACTTTGGGCGGCGGAGGCGGGTGGATCACGAGGTCAGGAGATCGAGACCATCCTGGGGTAACACGGTGAAACCCCGTCTCTACTAAAAGTACCAAAAATTAGCTGGGCATGGTGGCAGGTGCCTGTAGTCCCAGCTACTCAGGAGGCTGAGGCAGGAGAATGGCATGAACTCAGGAGGTGGAGCGTGCAGTGAGCCGAGATCGCGCCACTGCACTCCAGCCTGGGCAACAAAAGTGAAACTTCTGTCTCAAAAAAAAAAAAAGGGCCAGGCACGGTGGCTCATGCCTGTAATCCCAGCACTTTGGGAGACCAAGACAGGAGGATCACCTAAGGTCGGGAGCTCGAGATAAGCCTGGCTAATATGGTGAAACCCCATCTCTACTAAACATACAAATTAGCTGGATGTGGTGGTGCATGCCTGTCATCCCAAGCTACTCGGGAGGCTGAGGCAGGACAATCGCTTGAACCCGGGAGGCGGAAGTTGAAGTGAGCCAGGATTGCACTACTGAACTCCAGCCTGGCCAGAGTGAGGCTCTGTCTAAAAAAAAAAAAAAGAAAAAACAAAAGCTGCTAAATGTGTAGTACTGCCCTCTTTAAATCTGTAGATTCCCCCAGAATCTCTTTTTTCTGTCTTGCAATTTTTTATTGAAAAATTTGGGATGGTTAATTTGTATCACTTCCCATAGTCTGGATTTTGCTGGTTACATTCCTGTCGTATAGGTTAAGAAGTTTTTTTTTTCCTGTAAATTGATCATTGCATAGAGTGTTAATCAGATTAAGCTTTTATGTTTTTGTTAAGACTCTTTCAAAGCACACAGCCTCTTTCAAAGCACACAGCTACAAGGTGTTTGTATATGTGTGTGTGTATGTGAATTTGTGTATTGCTTTTTTTTTTTTTTTTTTTGAGACGAGTGTCTGGCCTCTTTGTTCTCCCAGGCTGGTGCAGGAGACTCGGGACCTGGCAAGCCGCCTTCCCAAGGTGACATGCCCGCAGCTCGGAAGAGTAGCTGGGACTACAAGGCGCCGCCACCGCGCCCGGCTACAATTTGTATTTTTAGTGAGACAGGGGTTTCACAGGTTTAGCCAGATGTCTCGATTCCCTGACCTCAGATCGCCATGCCTCGGCGCTCCAAAGTGCTGGGATTACCAGGCGTGAGCCACGGCCCGTTTGTGTTGTTCTTTTAAGTGCTCATTGAACATGACCTGGGATACCTTCTGATTGAAAGTTCAAGGAGAGAAAATGTTACTCTCTCTTCTATTTCACATCTGTGACTCCTTTTCCTACACCCCAAGAATTCAGTTTGCTGGCCACTGGGGATGATAGAATTTGAATATCACATAATTACTAATTGCTTTGTCCCATGTTTGAAAACCTTCTTAGAATAAAAATGTAACATTACCACTCCATATAATCACTAAAAACAGTTTCAAATTATTTTATTTTATTTTATTTTATTATTATTATTTTTTGAGACGGAGTCTTGCTCTGTCACCCAGACTGGAGTGCAATGGTGTGATCTCAGCTCACTGCAAACTCCACCTCCTGGGTTCAAGTGATTCTCCTGCCCCAGCCTCCCAAGTAGCTGGGATTACAGGCGCCCACCACCACACCCAGCTAATTTTTGTATTTTAGGAGAGATGAAGTTGCGCCACGTTGGCCAGGCTGATCTCGAACTCCTCACCTCAAGCCATCAACCTGCCTTGGCCTCCCAAAGTGCTGAGATTACAGGCCTGACCCACCGTGCCTGGCCAAAAAACAAGCAAACAAACAAACAAAAAAACATTTTAAAGATAAGCCCACACCATTTTCTCCCCCTATTTATAGCTCTACTTTATCTATGTTGTTGGCAAACATCACCATTACACTCATCTTCTCTTTTACTCCTCATCTTCCCTTGGTTCTCCATGTAAATGTATCTTTAATGTTTACACCAGGCTAATGACAATGTCTTTTTAGTCTCTTTGGTTGTCTGAAGCTTATTTTCTAGTCAGTCCTCAGGAAAGGCTTTGGGAACAATATTCTCCGGCTTCCTGCACATTGGTGACAATCTGCTTTTTTTTTTCTCTTCTTAACTCACTCTGTCACCCAGGCTGCAATGCAGTGGCGAGATCTGGTCTCACTGCAACCTCCGCCCCCCAAGTTCAAGCAATTCTGCCTCAGCCCCCTGAGTAGCTGAAATTACAATAGTGTGCCACCACGCCCAGCTGTTTTTGTATTTTTAGTAGAGACGTGGTTTAGCCATGTTGGCCAAGCTGGTCTTGAACTCCTGACCTCAAGTGATCCACCTGCCTTGGCCTCCCGAGTTGCTAGAATTACAGGTGTAAGCCACTGAGTCCGGCCTGACAATCTGCTATTTTCATACCTAAAAGTTAGTTTGACCAGGCCGGGTGCGGTGGCTCACGCCTGTAATCCCCAGCACTTCGGGAGGCCGAGGCGGGCTGAACACCTGAGGTCCAGACTTCGAGACCAGCCTGACCAACATGGAGAACCCATGTCTCTACCAAAACTACAAAATTAGCTTGGCTTGGTGGCGCGTGCCTGTAATTCCAGGACTGCCCGGGGGTCGGGGCCCTACTGGGTTCCAGCCGGTGGGCGCGGACAGGTCGGTGGGATGGCGGGGCCTGGCGGGTGGTGGGGGCCTTTCTGGGGTGGAATCCGGGCCTTCCTGGGGAGGAGCAGGGGCCTTACTGGGGAGGAGCCCGCGGCCTTGGGAGCAGGGCCCGCGGGGGGCGCTGGCAGGGCGGTGGGAAGGCTCTGCTTTCTGAATGGGGGCGGGGACTGCCGGAGTTGCGGGGCCTGCCTGAGGTGGGGCGGGGCAGCCTAGGGGGTGGGGCCGGTGGCTGTTGGAGCGGGGCCTGTGAGGGAGCAGGGAGGGCGGTGGGAAGGCGGGGCCTGCGACGTGGAGGCGTGGCCTGCCTGGGGCGGGGCGCGGCGCGGCGGAACAGCCTAGAGGCAGCGCGTGAAAGTGCGGGCGTCCCTCCTCTCCAGCGACCTAGCCCGGCATGAGGGAGTGAAGGCAGCGCATTCGCCAGACAAGAGCGATGGGTGAGAACGCCGCAACAGGTCTCCTTAGACTCCTCTGGCACGGGGAGGCCTCGCGCGAGCGCCCCGCCGCGGACCCACCTGATTGGGACTGTGGAGGAGGGCGGGATGGAGTGGAGGGTTCGCCGATCGCGTTGCCCTCCTGGGTGTCGAAGCTCCTTCCTCGGCAGTCCCGGGGCGTGAGAGCGCGACCAGCCGGGAGGTGGGGGCCCCGGGACGCGGCCGCACGTGGCCTCGCAGGGTTCCAGGAGCCCCTGAATTAGCCCAGCGTGCGCGTGGGTCTCCAGCCCGGCAGGGACAGCGGAGGCTGCGAGCTCTGGGGGCGGCGGTGGATCCTGGAGTCCCACTACCTGCCCTAAATTTCCACTCCGTCCCTGTCGCCCAGTGTGACCTTGGGCATGGCTGCAGCTCCCAGTGCCTCAGTTTCCCGCTCGGTGGAGTGAGAGTGACAGTGGTCCCACCTGCTGCATGTGTGAGGCTTTGGCACCCCTCTGGCCCTTGGGAAAGGCTAAGGAAACTGGCTGTTGACTCTGTTTACTCCGGTTTTACAGGAAAGGAAACTGAGTCTCAAGACATTTTAGTAATTTGTCCAAGGTCACCCAGCCAGCAAGTGGTAGGGTCCGGGCATGACCAGCACACCTGCCCCAGCACATTCTAGAAGGTTCTCACCCAGTTTAAATGGGGTGCATGCTGTGAGGCCTGTCGCAGGTTTTTCTGGCTTAGCTTATCTTTCCCTCGTCTGGGAGTCCCCACACCCATGTCTGGCTCTCTCTCCCCATAACCTTCTGGGGGCAACTAAAGGTCTGAGTCTCTCTGGACATGACCCCTGGCTCAAGCACAGCAGGCAGAGATAAGGGGTTCAGGGAGCACCAGCTTCATGGATGAAAGAGAAGGAATGAAAGAGCTGGCTCTGTCTTTCAGGTCTCATCTCAGAGCTGAAGCTGGCTGTGCCCTGGGGCCACATCGCAGCCAAAGCCTGGGGCTCCCTGCAGGGTCCTCCAGTTCTCTGCCTGCACGGCTGGCTGGACAATGCCAACTCCTTCGACAGACTCATCCCTCTTCTCCCGCAAGGTGTGAGGCTGGGGCTGAAGGGAAGTCCAGGGGGAAAGTGGGCAAGAAGGTGAGGGGGGAGGTCTGCAGGGGAGTGAGGAGGGCGGGGAGACAGCTGGCATAGACACCTCTTCCTGCCCTCCAACCTGCTTCTGTCTGTTTCAGACTTTTATTATGTTGCCATGGATTTCGGAGGTCATGGGCTCTCGTCCCATTACAGCCCAGGTGTCCCATATTACCACCAGACTTTTGTGAGTGAGATCCGAAGAGTTGTGGCAGGTAAGAAGCAGTGTATTTTTCGGCACGGGGTTGCTCTGGGACACCTCCTCTTAGCATTGGAGTCGGGGTAGGATCCAGGAATCTGCACTGGCCTGGGAGTGGGGCCTGGGCTCTGGCCCCAGGTCTGCCAGCAATTCACGGGAGAGCTTAGGAAAGTTGAAGAGTTTGCTTCCTCCTGTGGGTCCCCCAAGCTGGTCTCCTGGGTGGACACCCCAGATGCTGGGAAGGGATTTCCTGAGCCCGGGGAGTAGAAGCGAGAGGGCGGGCTGAGCCTGTGCACAGCCGGACCTTTTGGCTCCTTGCGTTTCCAGCCTTGAAATGGAATCGATTCTCCATTCTGGGCCACAGCTTCGGTGAGTACACTGACCAGCAGCCAAGTGGGCCTGGAGTAGGGCTGGGAGGGAAGGATAGGAGCTGCTGCCCCACCGCTTTCCCCTGCGCTTATGAGATCTGCAAAGAGAGATGAGAGCATCAGAGATTGACCACTGTACCCACTGACCTCAGGCAACTGCTGCAAGGGACACAGAGATGAGGGAAATGTGGTCTTCTGAGTAGTCGGGTCTGATGAAGGGGCCATCGTGACCTGATAGTGAGCCCCCACCACCCATATGGAGCCCACCTCTCCCTCCGCCATTGGTGGGAAGAAGCTTTAGGGTTTGCAGCTGGGGAGGGAGTGAGGGAATGTCACCAATGGCTCTTCTGTCCCCCAGGTGGCATTGTGGGCGGAATGGTGAGTAGATGGCTTTGTCTGGCCAACAGGGGTCCCTCGGGTGGGGTAGGGATGGTAGCACAGAGGAGGAAGGAGAAGGTACCTGGGACAGGAAGTGCCTCCTCCTGTCACAGTAATAGTCATTATACCAGGAAGTTGGTGTAAATAGTGGAGACTGTCCCAGAGCACCCTGGAGTCCCGCCATCACCAGGGTCTGCAGCTCAGTGCTAGGTGCAGACTTGCGGGTGGTGGGGGAAGGCACACCATAGGATAGAATATTCTCCTTCTGGCCCCTTGGTCAGCACCCTCCCCGAGCCTAAAAGATGTTTCCGGGAACTCCAGGGTCCCCTGGGAAAGGCGGGAAAGTCCTTTCCTTCTTCCGCCTATTCATTCTCCCCTTCTGCTGTCCTCACAGTTTTCCTGCATCTTCCCCGAGATGGTGAATAAACTTATCTTGCTGGACTCGCCGCTGCTTCTCCTGGAATCGAATGTGAGAAGCGGGGCTTTCGTGCGTGCTGTCATTAGGGAGGACCTGGACCCCGGCCGTGCTCTCAGCCCTGTCTCCTTTGGTGGACACTAGGGAGGCAGGAGGAGGTGGCAGAGGGTGGGAAAGGGGAGTCAGGGACCCGATCTCCACCAGAGGACAGCTCTCTGCCGCTTATACCCCTAGGAGTGGTCAGGAGAAGGGGTGTGGGGGACCCCTTGGAAACTGGACGTGTGGCTTGGGATCTGCGAATGCCAGGCTGATCATGCAGTGGCAGGGTGGAAGAGGCGCAGGAGCCATGGCTGGAGGATGTTGTAGGGCACACAGCTGGGCAGGCGCAGTGCACTCACACCCAGTCGAATGCCTTTGCACTGTGTACACGTTGCACCACCACACACGACAGCCCTAAAAGTGAATGATGGAACAAGTACTGACCCTCTGGCCCACTACCATAACCAGTACTGTCCCTGCATCTGGGTCCTGGCCTGGTTGTTTACCTGCTGGGTGACCCTTGGCAAGTTACTTTGCCTCTCCGGGCCTTAGTTCCCGCCCTGTAAATGAGGTTGGCTGATGCAGCCAGCCCTGACATCCTGTCTTTTCTTGCCAAGGGTCTCAGCCTCTCAGTTGTGACACAACTCCCCATCAGTTTTCAGGTTTTTTGTCCATAG